GAGGAGGATCTCAAGACAAATAGAGTCTTCTGACTAGTGTTGTCATACTCGGACTAAAGATATTGAACTATACCATCAAATTAAATGTGTTAAAAACTAAAATAACACACACAACGTGCAAGGTAAGTACTAGGATGGACGTAAAATAAGAAAATGATTCCAAAATGTCCTATAGTAGTTGTTAAGTGTATTCTAGAATAAACATATTAATCATTTTAGAACAGAGTAACTATATATTATTAAGAAAATGATATTTTATTTAGATTAGTAAATTTTTTTTAAAATAGAGCAATGCTGTTGACTTTTCATGGGAAGAAGAGACCAAGAAATGTGCTGGCTAATATTGCATATGTTTGCATGTGTATTGAAGTTCCGAGCCATTGTATGGAAAAAACATAAAAAAAAGTAAATAAATAAAAATAAAAAAAGCCAACCCTAATTTGCAAGTTGATGATGACTTGAAGGTATATTGTACTACATGTGACTACATACGCGTTCAGAAATTTCATGCAAATTCACGAATCACAACAATCACGCCTAGGGCTTTAACTTCCAGTATTCCAGAGGTTTGTGGTTAGAGGTGGATCTCACTCAATACAAGTCAATTAGATCTGTCTCCATTTCTTTTAACCTTGTTGTTAAGTTGGTGATTTCACTTCACATGACAACGTTGACCAAAGAGTTCATTTATTCGTAAGGCAATATTTTATTTTTATTTTATTTTTTTGTTTTGCCATAAATACTTTCCATTGAAGCAATTCACAACGTACCAGAGTTACAGTTTGTAAAGCAATCTTATACTAGTATTTATCTCGCATGTTGTACGCTACTTCAAGATATATATATATATATATATATATATATATATATAATTTTAATGATTATATAACATTTCAGACTGTGATATGTAAAAAAAAAAGGTAATATTAATGATCTAAATTTCAAATGTGTAGAAAACAATGTCAATGTATTTTGTTATTTTAAGTATATTTGGAATTATTTTCAGTATTCGAAATCATCCAATGTAACTTATTTTTTATCTTTTTCGTTTTGTTGATTTATGGGTTTTATCTTTAAATGTATTCTCTTAATTTTTTATATTGATCTAACTAACCTCTACTTTTGCAAAAAATTTTATCATTATTTATTTCTATAAACTTATCTTTATTTATCATATCTCCAGTTACCTTTTCCAACTTTTTTTTAGAATTTTGTTCGTAAATTTTTCTTATAATAAAGTGTTTTATTTCAATTTTTTATTTTGGTTGCATAGTTTCCCTATTTTTTTTAAAAAATATTTGATGACCTCTCCTTAAAGTTTCTTTTTTGTTTAATCCTCCCAAGTGAAACTCACTTAAATGTATGTCAAAACTCCCATACAAATCTCTTGGTGAGAATTGAACTCGGATCTAGCACCAAGAAGCATATCATCTTCTCATGTCGATTTCTTTTCATATTTTCTAATTCTCTATATAATTTTTTCTTCTATATAATTATTTTTAATTTCCCAATATACTTTTCTTCTACTGTTTGCTTCTCATTGAGACCTTTATCTTTTTTTATTTTGAAAAACTTTCTCCTTATTGATTTCTACGTTTTGTTTATCATCACAACGTTAAATGTTTCTACCATCACATTATATGAAAAACTAATGAATCATCTAATTGATATATTATATTTGATGCAGATTACAAATATTCATCAAAGTTAGAAGATTAATGATCAATGCTTAAGTGAGAAACTAATAAAAATTTTGAAATACACAACTTAATTATTAGTCAATTAAAGAGGGACTTAAAAGGAACAAGTGAGAAACTGATCCTTTCCAAGCACATCTTATTTGTAAACTAATGAAGATAATAAAGTTTCAGTAGCTAAAACTCTAATCGAAACTTTAGCCATTAAACTTTTAAATAAATATACAAATTAAATCAATACGATAAGCCTTTTACGCCACCGCCCTCTACAGCTGCTGCCGCCACCACTACTGTCATACCCTCTGTCGTCGTCGCAGCTATCGGAGGTATTAAACTTGATATCCTATTTTCTTTTCTTCTCTTTTATTTTTTTATTCCTTTCTATTTGAACAAAAACTTTCAAATCACGATATATATAGGCCAATTTCAACTATTGCATTGATTGATTTGGTTTGGCAGTTGCGACACCAATGATGATTATAGGGAATGTTCGATTTTTTTCCTCTCATTTTACACACCCACGCAACGCGTGGGACAAGTACTAGTACTGGTACATTAGAATTTTTTTGTGGTAAAATAATTATTCCGTGTGAAATTTTTTAATAAATTAAACATTAAAAAAAATATAAAGTATGGTACATGAATAGACAACACCAATACTGTAATAACAAATGTAAAGTATCGTAAATTCTATATGGACAGATGATTTTGTTTCAATCGTATTTTTAGTTTCTATTCTAATTGCTAGTGACGTAAAAATGTAAATTAGAAATAAAAAAGAGGGAGTATATTAGAATGAAAATATCCAATAATTTTTTTTTTAAAAAAAAAAGAGGTGGAAAAAGGACACAAAGGGTAATTTATCCAGTATATCTGAAGTATCATATTCCCCCTCTTATTTTGCATTACTACTAGTCCTTATTATATTTTTTTCTCAACTCCTCCTATATTTTGCAAATTTAGTCCATGTTATTTTTTTCTCTTCCTTCCAAAAAACATCTTTAATCTTTAAACGACCATATTTCTTAATCTGTAAAGAATTTGTGAACGAATTATATATGAAATTAATAGTAATCGACGAGATCTATCCAATAAGATCCATATTGAATATTTTTCTCGAGCTTAAAAATGACCAAATTTCAATGGGTAGAATTAAGGTGGATATCCAATTTAAAAAGATGAATAAGTGATTATTTTAATTGATATTTTCTTGTAAAATTTATATCTTTCAAACCGTAAAGAATTAGAAAACGAATTATATATTAAATTCATAGTGCTCGACGAGATCTATCCGATAAGATTAATATTGATTTTTTTTGAACTTTATATGCATTTATATTTTACGGACAGATTTGAAGAAATATGTTTTTTTTTGTTTTTCTGAAAAATGATTATCCGTTGTGTTCATACTGATTATCCAATCGGTTTGGACCGATTATCTATTTTATTTTAATGGAAATCCAATCACATTTTTTACATTCCCTCATCTTAAAAAAAAAAGAAAAAAATATTTGGATAAACATTACAAATAATGTGGAAAACCAGTGAAAATAATTGAATAAGCAATACAAACTGGTTGGATAATCAGTAAAAAAAAATTGGGCAATTATTTTCATAAATAAGCAAGAAAAAAAAGTTGGATAACAATCGCCAAGAAGTTGGATAATCAGTATGAACACATTGGACACATATTTTGTCAAAAAAAAATTGTTTGGATAATCAGTGAAAAATATTGGATAACTAATACAAAATGGTTGGATAGTCAGTACAAAGAAATGGACAAGGATTCTCGCGAAGAGTAGAGAAAAAAATTGGACGGATAATCTATACCAAGCAGTTGAATAATCAATATGAACGCGTTGGGCAACCTTTTTTTTTTCTAAAAAAAAATAATAAAAAGAAAATCTAGGTTGGATAAGCAGTACTAATTAATCAACACATCGGGAAATGATTTTCAAAAAAAAAAGATTGGATAACCAGTACAAACGAATTGCATAATCGGTTCAAACCAGTCGGATAATCAGTATGAACATAATGGATAATCATTTTAAAAAAAAAACTAGGTTGGATAAACAATACCAGTTATTTAGATAACAAGTAAAAACTTATCGGACAAGTATTTTCAAACAAAAAAAATTGCTGGATAAATAATAACTCGGGGTTGGATAATTAGTACGAACATATTGGACAAGCATTTTCTCAAAAGAAGAATAAAATGATTGGACAAGTAATAAAAACTTATTTGGACAAGTAATAAAAATTATTGGATAACCAATACAAAGCAACTGGATAATTACAATGAACACATTGGATAACCGTGTTTCAAAAAAAAATGATAGGATAAGCAACATAAACAAAATAGATAACCAGTATTAGCGTATTGGACAATAATTTTTTCCAAACAAAAAAAAAATGATTGGATAACCAGTACAAACAATTTAGATAGGCATATGTATCCGTTGGATAACCAATACACATAAATTGAATAGATATACAAACCAAATGGATGGATATCCAGTACATACAAGTTAGATATGCATACAAACCTGTTGATAGACATACAAACCAAATTGAAATATCCATTACAAACAAGTTAGATATGCATACAAACCCGTTGGATTACAACTACAAAGCAAGTTGGATATGCATACAACCAAATGGATAAACAGTACAAACAAAATGGATAACCAGTTCAAACTGATTGGATAATCAGAATGAACACAATGGATAATTAATCTAAAATAAGTTGGGTATCCATTTGTCTAAACTAGATATCCATACAAATTTCTTTATTTCTACCTATCAAAATTTAGTCATTTTTAAGTTCGAAAAAAATATTCGATATGGATCTCGCTGGATAGATCTCGACGAATACAAGAAATTTCATGTGTAACACAGTTTTCTAATTCGTCACGGATTTAGTGACGTGCTCATTTGAAGATTAGAGATGTTTTTTCTTTATAGAAGAGAGAAAAAAGTATAAGTGAGTAAATCTATAAAATATTAAAAGATTGAAGAAAAAGTACAATAATGACTAGTAATGCAAAAAATACGAGAGAATGTACATGCTTTCGGCTATACGGGTTAAAGACTAATCCGCAGTGCTCACAACTAACGTCGCTACAGTGTTAGTATTTCCTTTTTACGTGGATTAGTAAAGCTTTACAGTACTTAAGTTGACTGGCGGATAGAACTCTCAGGATCTAATGTGTTGCTTAATGAGCGGGGTTAATTGGTTAAAAGGAAGAAAAACCCAGATCTCCGCGTAAAAAAGAAAGAAGAGCTTTAAATACGGAGGAAGGTGGATCCCACCGACCGAAATTAAATGGGAAATCGTGCCGGTAAACGCGCTTCTTCCATTTTCAAATATTTTTATTTTCCTTCTTCTTTCAAATTTCTTTCCATTATTATTAGTATTATCAATCAATTATCATCATCATAGGGATATACCCCACAACACCCCATGTGACTCTGCCAGGCGGGCAAATTTTACACACAGTCACACACTCGCGTTACTTTCACTCTCTCTCCCCCACCGACTGCTCCACTTCCCCCATTTATATCAACCTCAACCCCTCCTTCACTTTTTCTTCATCGTCTCTTCAAATCCTGCCAAATTTTAGTAGAAGAAGTAGAAAGAAGAAGAAAGAAATCGATGGCGAAATTCGTAGTGTTGTTTGCTCTCTTGGTGGCTACCGTTTCAGCCATTGCTTCCGCCGATGTTACTTCTGCCGGTCCTCCTTTTTACGTCAAGGGAAGTGTTTTCGCTGACCAATGCCGTGTGGCATACGAGGTGTATGATAAATCTAAGCCATCTGGTTTAGACCATTTGTCCGGTACGTCTCTCTCTCTCTCCCTTCTTTGTTTGTTGAAAAAACTCCAGTATGAATTTTCAATTTTGCTGGTAAAGCAGGTTGGGGTGGGGGATTTTTTTTTTCCGGGTTTAATTAGGATCTTATTGTGTTACATACATCTTGTGTTAGTAGACGTAAACAAGACAACTCATAGTATACTTTATGGATGCCTGTATTTTTATTTGTTTATTTATTTATTTTTTTTAACGTTGGGCTGGATCTGTTTGGTGGATTATGGTGAATGGTTGTTGATCTTTTCAGATCTGTGTGTTTGTGTGTGTGTCTGTGTTTTTTTTTTTTTTAAATTGTGGTTTTGGGACTTAATCTGAGATTTAAGTATTCATTTTTTTTTTTTTTTGTCTTGGAGATCATTTATATATTTTTCGGGTTAACTAGTTTGCTGATCTACTGTCTTTTCAGTGTTATTCAATAGATATCAGAGTAGTTGGTGTTGATCTGTATGGATTGAGGAACATCTGCAAAATGTAGACCTATCATTTGAATAAAATGATTGCGCAATTGTCCTGATTGTTAACCTAAGTAGTTCACCTAGTATTTGAGTTAGAACAAAAAGCAGAACAATTATTTTGGGATGAAAGGATAATAGTAGCAGGAGTTGTGGAGATCTATACTTAATGGGTTTATACATTGGAATAATGTACATTGTTTCTTTTTTTTTTTTTTTTTGGGTTGCAGATGTCGAAGTGGAACTTAAGTGCACCAGTGGAGGCCAGGTAACCTATTCCAAGGGAACCAAGACAGACTCCAAGGGTGATTTCCTCATTGAAGTTGAACGCGACTGTGGCGATGAGATTTGCAAAGTCTCCCTTGTGAGCAGCCCTGACTCAGATTATCAGGATAAATGCGAAGGCCGTGACAGCTGCCATGTTACAATCACCAGCAACAGTGGCATTGTCGACAAACTTCGACATTGCAATGCCCTCTGTTACTCCCGCAAAACTCCTGAGTCTGGCTGCCCGCAACTCCTCCAGCAGTACCAGGGTCTTGATGAGTCCAACTAGATAATGTTTTATTCCCTCTCATTGTTAGGACTAATGTTGATGATTTGTTCTTCCTTTTCGGATGGATGATGCGATGTTTTTGTTTGTTTCTTTTCCATTGTTTTCTTGCCAGGACTGAGGTGATTTTGTGTCACTGGTGTTTTTAACTCTGTTACTACAATTAATTTAATGATTTATATATGAGTTATATTATAGTATCTGGTCACGCCTTGTGGCCTTGTATTGTCATTGAATCTTATGAAGAAATGCATTCAACGAGCATCGAGCTTAGATTATGTACTTTGTAGTGTTTAATTATCACTGGGAACGCTTTCTCGTAATCTAGATATGTTATGAAACCTTCTTGTCTTTGAGCTTTTAGATAATATCAAGCAACTACGTATATTTGGTTCTATTTCATCATGAACCTCGTTCAATGCTCCTTTGAGAGTTTGAGACTGCAGAACTTAGCAATCCGTTAGTTATGAGTAATAGCCAAAAATCAAGGAATCCACCGAATTATGTTGGATGACTGACTATTGTTCTTCTTGATCAAGAACTAAGGGGTATCAAGAACCTTTTGGGAATTGTTCTTCTTGATCAAGAACTAAGGGTATCAAGAACCTTTTGGGAAGAAGGGATTGGGAGGTTCAGGGGCGGAACTCTTAAAGGGCTCGGGGGTACCGAGCCCCTTCGGCCGGCCGAAAAGCTCCTTAATGGTAGTCACGGTTAATGTTACGTTATATATATTCGATTATCGATTTTGATTATGAATATATAGTCAGCCTTTTCAAATATGAGTAGCCAATTCCGCCACTGGAGTGGTTAGCAGGCATTTCAGGGAAAATAGCGTTGTGCTGATGCATTAGCAAACAGAGGGCTTAATGTAAATTAGGAGTTAGTATATTTTTGATGTCACCCTTAGTAGATTGTACATAACCTAGAGCGTTTGACAGTTGACATTCTAGTTTGATGTTAACCAAAAAGAAACTAATAACGGTGTGGTTCTCCCGGAAGGATGATTAGAGATATCAAGAGTTGTTAAATTAAGATTGGTTTGTGAAACTATATTATATCAATCAAGAATTGAATTTATTTTGATATCCATGGTTCCATATTTGAAGTTTTGATGATATCCTGCTGGTTTAGGTAAACGCGATTCCCTTTTGTATTGGGAGTTGATAATGTGAGAGCTAAAATTTTATATTGAGAGCAAAAATTTATCAATTGTCAATATTACCCTCGTATAAATTTAATATGCAATACTTATTCACTCTTAAATTTCTCCCCTCTTTCTTTTTTTTTTTTTTTTTTTTTGGGATACAATTTTCTTTTTCAACTTCAATAAGAAAAAATATATATTCCCTTAAGAAAGGAATCAATTACAACACAGAAAAGATGTAAGATGTAGAAGTAAACTATCATTGCCTGGAAAAACAATTAAATTTTTATTTTTATTTTTTGGCTGGCTAAAGTTTTTGACTCAAAACAAAGTAGACCTTAGAAATTTTTTTTTTCAATATCTGCTTGTTGATTACTACTGAAAGCTAAAACATTAATATCGAACTATCACCTCCAGACGATGCACCACGTGAAACAAAAACAAAACAAAACGAAAAACCTATTCCAAAGTTTATATATATTTTTTTAACAAATATACATGCAAAAATCATAATCAATACAAGACATTGTGCTATGAAGAGTTCAATAAAGACGTTTGATTGCATCTCAATTTTAAAACAGTTGTCTCTAGCGTAATTTTTCTTTTCTTATTAATCAAAATTTGAAAATGTTGCAAAAAGAGGTGGAATAGAGAGAGAATTAATAATGAATAAATATGGTAAATTCTTCAAAATATGGTATATTGACAATTGATGAGATTTTGCTCTCAGTATAAAATTTTGGATCTTAGTTTATCAATTCCCTTTTATATTACTTAGTCAAGGATCAAATCAGCTTTTGTATAGAAATTTTGTATTAAGATAAGCTCCCTTTTATTGTACCAAAAAGATAATACTCCCTCTGGTCCTTATTATAAACTATTTTGACTTTTCTCAGGTTTCATCTAGTACACATTTTTTATTGATAAAAAAATTTTAAAAATATTTCATAAAAATTAAGAGAACACAACGAATGTGGAAAAATATTTTTAAAGTTTTTCTAGGTAAAATCTAGCACAAATCAAAATGACTTATGTTAAGCACCGGAGGAAATAATACTAAAAATGCAAGAGAGTTTAAGTTTAAGAACACTAAGGAATCAATTATAACTACTACAATAGGCGATAGCGTCCACTTTCATCTCTCTCTCTTTTTTTTTTAATTTTGTTTTTGTGTAACATGCTAATTTCTAAGGTTAATTACTGTTGAAAGGCAAAATCATACTCCTTATTCCGAAAATATAATTGTAAAAATTAAATATGAACTATTTTTAAGGATCGAGGGGAATAATAATTAGAAATCAGTGGTCTTAATATACACGGCACGGTTTAATGGATACATAACTGACCACATTTTTGTTAGTTCAGTTGGAGTACTATGTTGAATGAGCAGATTACAAAATATAAAAATGCAAAAATCAGAGGGGTTGGTGGTGAAAGGGATTTTCTCTTCTTTGGCCCAACTACTACTACTGGCTACACCAAAAACAATAATCAGAAGAGATCTCTATGAATTCTGGTTGCAATTTGGTTCGAACAAAGTTCCCATCTTCTTAAACGCTCCCGCAATTCCTCAAGGTAAGAAGAATTCTTCATTTTCACTATTTGGCAGCTTTCGAGATCCGTTTACCCTTTGTCGGACTTATCAACTTTTTGGCTTTCTTATTAGAATTCCTTTTGTTTTTCTTGTATCTGTCGTTGCTAGGAGAGAAATATATGTTACGGACTATTATGAATCCTTATAATGGCATATTACAAGTTTAGCTACTCTCTCGTGATGATGATGGGTTGTTTCACTTTTCCAAGTTTCGGCCTTTCTTTCATTTGAAATGATCCAATCATGTTAGTTATGAGATGGGTTTTCGAAAAAGATCAATACTTTAGGCTTTTTCCGGATCCCAGATTATTGTTTAGCTTATGCTTACTGTGGGATGTATCATAGACAAAGGGCAGCTAGTTCTGTCCTTGGTTTGAATTTTGTAAGGATTATGTGATTGAAGGATACGTATTGTTAACTGTGTTGATAATGTCTATTTATTCTGCTGGAAATTTGTGTACGTGGGCTAATAAGAAGGTTATCATCTTGGAAAGGATCCCTGGAGCTTCAAAATGGCTGGTGCTGTTGCTTTGGACCCTGCGGTATTCATTTGTAGTCATTATGGAGGTAGAGGTGGAGGTGGAAGGAATTTTGCTTTCCATAAAAAATGTGATTTTGCTAGGTTGAGGTCAATGTCAGGATATCTTGCACCTGACAAACCGCTGGGCGAAAAAATGAATTCGACCAAGTTTCCAGCTTTCACGTCAAGTTCTAGTTCGTCAGTTCAATATCCGCTATTGTCCTCATTGAATGAAGCCGGCGGTGGTTCTTTTCAAAGGAAAGAAAGTGAGTTAAAATCATGAATTAACCTTACCCTTTCTCTAATGTTGTGTTGCAATTACTGTTATTGGTTTGCAGTACTAACTAGTATTGTTTTCCAAATTGCAAAATCTAAATGAACAATCTATACTGCAGATGAATCTGTTTTGATATTAATCAGACATGGAGAGTCCATGTGGAATGAGAAAAATCTGTTTACTGGTTGCGTTGATGTGCCATTGACGGAGAAAGGAGTAGAAGAAGCTATAGAAGCTGGTAAGAGAATAAAAAACATGCCTCTAGACATTGTCTATACTTCAGCTTTAGTTCGTTCTCAAATGACTGCTATGCTTGCTCTAACGGAGCATCACTGTATGAAGGTATTTTGCTTTCTTTTCTAGTTGGCTACTGTTGAAATTTTCAACTTCATTCTTCCATTTATGGATGTCTAATACTTTTGCTTTAAATGGGCTTCATTCATTCATTAATTGGATACTAGTGGGTGACCCGGACGTTGTGCGGGTTGTAAAATTTTTCCTGCATTATTTGTGTAAAATAAAAATTTTCAAAAAAATATAAGAGTAATCACGTTGAAAGATGCATTTATATATGCACGCTTAGTCCTAAAAAGATATCCAAAATTCCCCCCAAAAATACAGTATAAACTAAAACTTCTCAAGTAATCACTATGCACAGGTACTCCACATCCATTGAGAGTGCCTGCATTGAACATAAACCCGTATGGAATAATAAAAAAAAAAGTATGAAAAATACCCGTAAAAAATAAAAATAAAAAAAAACTATAAGAAAGGAACAAAAGTTTTAAAGGAAAATGAAATAGAGAGACATACTTGATTGGTTTGAACTGTTTACTATGATGGAGTTTAAATAGAACAAGATTTAACAAATCCCGTATAAGATTTAGGATAGGAGTAACCTAGGATAACTTGGACTCTATTTGAGCTTTAATTATGATTACTTATTTTAAAAGGTTGTTGCAGAAACTTAAATAAAGTTATCTTCTACGGTTAAGATGTACTGTAATCACAGTTAAATCTATGTTTCTTACTTCTAACTTAAGTGAGATTCTAATTTCATGCCAAGTAAGCTATTTTCATCCTGTATTAATATATATAGATTGCAATGTTCTCCGATCGTAATTCTAATGCCTTTGATATATGCTGGGGACATTAGTGGTTCTGTTCATGAAACTTAGCCAACAGTTTGCCTAAGAACTTCTGATTATGAGATTCCTATGGAACATATCAGTCATCTTTATTTCCTCTGTCCATACTGAAGGCCTAAATGTTTGTGTTCTATAATGTGGTCTTAACTGAAACTTTGAAGTGTCTTGTTATGGATTTGCAAGTTTCGGCTACCTTGTGCTCTTTGATTGAAAAAATCCTGGACTTTAACTTAGAAGACTCATTCCTTCCATTGAGTCATTTGCTGGAATACAACTGCATTGTTGTTTATAATTTCACAAGTACACTGTTGTTCGGCTGCAATGGGTACTTGATAAGTGGTTGGTATTTATCAATATTAGGTTTGTTCAGGTTTGAGGGAGAGATATTGATAGTAGAAAGGCTTGAGTAGCTTAGAGCAGGAAGAAAAAGGGAAATGACACAAAGGCTAGAAGGGAGAAATTTATAAAAGAGTGCCATTTGTTATGTGAAGAAACACCTCCTGAATGTATTCACACTGAGCTTTTTTTTTTTTTTTTTTTTTTTCCCATTTTAGTTTTCAATCTTTGGTAAAAAACTTGCTGCCATTCTACTTCTAGATGTTAACCTACTAGTAGTTTTCAGGTTCCTATCATTCTTCACAATGAGAACGAAGAATCTAGAATATGGAGTAAAATTCACAGCGAAGATACCAAGAAGCAAACAATTCCTGTTGTCAAAGCATGGCAGCTGAATGAAAGAATGTAAATCTTAAACTCTCTCTTTTTCTCAGGTGTACATGTGCTGAAAGTTCTTAAACTGAAAATAAATTTATTCATTTTCAGGTATGGTGATCTGCAGGGTTTTAATAAGAAGGCAACTGCTGACTTATATGGGAAAGATCAAGTTCAGAAATGGCGTAGAAGTTATGATGTTCGACCCCCTAATGGTGAGAGCTTAGAAATGTGCTTGGGTAGAGCAGTTGCTTTCTTCAAAGAGCAGGTAAGCCATATGCCGTCTAGATTTCTGTAGCCCATAAGTTAAGAAAGGACCGTGAACTTCATATCTCTTGTAATTTTTTGGCAGATTGAACCACAACTTATGATAGGAAAGCATATAATGGTTGTAGCTCATGCAAATTCCCTGAGATCCATAATCATGTATCTTGATAAATTAAGTTCTCAGGAGGTAAGAAATTAAAACTGTTAAAGCATTACATTCGAAATCTTCTTGATGAATCAATTTCAGTTTGAGGTTCATTTTTCCTTGGATAGGTCATTGACTTAGAATTATCTACTGGCGTACCTATGCTATACATATATAAACAAGGAAATTTTATCAGGAGAGGTAGTCCGTTGGGATCTACAGAGGCTGGTGTTTATGCTTATACGGAGGTATGACTTTCTACTGCAATCCTTAGTTTTCCGGTTGTGATATATATATATATATATATATATATATATATATATATATATATATTTTAATCAAATTACTGTAAGAGTGGATATTTATCTGGATGATCTTGGCTACTTGTCATTGAAGGATCCCTCACTGTGAAAGTATGTACGGGGTCAATTTTTGCATTGCTTATCACTAGAAAACGCCTAGCTTTTGTCTTTTAAAGCAATTATACCACGCCAGTGTTTGTGCAGTGCAAAGCCTTTGATTCATTTTCTTCAACCTTGAATTGAGATAGCCTCTGAGTGTTGCTTTACTCTTCAAGATATAGAAGTTCTATAACCTCTAATCGTGTAGAGCTGCTATCTTTGTACTATCTTGATTAGTCCTTGCTTCATCGATCAATATGCCAGACCGCAATAGGGAAACTTCAATGTTGATTTGATGACACGCAAAAGTGAACTTCTGTGATCTGTGGCAGTAGAATTGCTAGTCTATCGTAATAAATTTAGTTCTATTCAGTTAGCTACAATATAAAAACATCAAATGCACTTCCACTCTAATGCACTGCTTATTTGTTATGTCTACACATGCTCATGGACATACAGATGCAAGAGTTTTTGAGTGAGAAATACTGCATCCAAGACTGTCTCACCTGCTTAGAGGGCTTATTTTTAGGAACCTGGCATTGTATTATTAGACTTATGATTAGTAAATAGTTATTAACACTTCAGCTAGCTAATAATCTATTTGATCTCAGAAGGTCCCTTTTGATAACAGAAAAAGGCGTAACAATTTTGAACTTAACTGTATGTCTTGTGATGAAACATGATGGTGAAATATGAACCACATAGTGACCTCTTATTGGCTGGGTAGAGAGAGGGTTAAGTTTTGTCTAAGATACCATGCAGAGACAAATTCTAGTCCAATTTTTGCAAGCGTTGGAATCTACAAGATGAAAACTTTTGCATGGTTATCCCAAAAGTTGTTAAATTTCATCTTAAGTTTCACTTTCGACTGGTATGTGTCTGGTGCGTACTTGCAACATAAATACATGTTGGTCTTCTATCTATTCAAATATTATTTCTTGTTCTTTTTTTACTTTACATTCTACTCCAAAAGGAAGCTTGGAACTCCTCAGTACACATGATTGCAGTGTTTCTGTATGAAAGTCATCAACTGAGCTAGGTGGTTATCTTAGAATCCACATTCTAGTTAAATTTGGTTATATGGAGGTTAACCTATAAACAGTTAAAAATGAAATAAGATTTTAGTTTGTAATTCATTATTCTTTCATAAATGTTTATATTGTAGTTAAGCTTCCATAATGATAGTGCTCTTAGGTATATAGCGTGTATGGGTTATGACTCATCTGCTTATACATACTTCTGTAATATTGCCATATATGTTTTGGTATTTCTCTTTTGTTTTGTCCTCCTTTGTTTCTTTAGGAAGGTAGAATCTTTATGCCACAGGTTTTGTTCGGTTAAAGGGGTATACTCATTGATAACATAAATAGTGGTATAAGTGAAAAAGGTTATGAAAAAGTCATTTTTGTGAAATAAATGTGCAAATATCTCATCTACACTCCTTCAACTGTAGAGTTACTTGGTTACTTGTCTGGTAATACTTGCCTAGACAAAGAAGTGGACCATTGCCATTTCCGATATTGCAAGGAATTGAATTTTTTAGTGTGACTTGGTATAAGGTTTTGAATGTATTTAACACCAGGATGAAAACAAGAAGTAATCCAAACACAAAATGGCAAATAAGCGACTATTTCGTTTCAGTTCGTTTAATCTACAGCCTGTAATTATAACAACAGCTGCCTTTGTTCTGCTATGAGTTGGCCAGTAACTTTGTTGCCAAATGCATTTGTATGAATGATATATCCAAAAAAGTCTTTAATCTCGTTCATAGGGTAGCAGGGAAGATAGGTTTTTTTTTTTTTTTTTCTGTTTTCATGAATTCCACGGGCAACCTTTCTGGAGCATTATGAGGCTGGGAAGGAGAAGAGCCATTGCATTGATTATCACCAAAAGATCAATCTCCATATTTATTGAAGTCCTTCGGGAGATTTGTAGTATCATAAATCATTAAGTCAAGCTTAGAGTTTATACTAGATCTCACCACCTGGAAATAAAGAAAATGGCTCCTTATATTCTGCCTTTGGGTAGATGCAGTTGGAGTTTTATTTGCCAAGTTTAAAGTATCAGGAACTATTGCATCCACCCACATGTCCTGGTTTCTGTAAAGATTTGTCTTTTTTCACTCTGTATTATATGTAGCGATGGTAATGTGGTTCACATCTCTAATAAAACTTGCTTTCTGCAGAGCTTGGCCTTGTATAGACAGCAGTTAGATGAAGTATCTCAGTAATTTGTTTCGTAAGAGGTAAATGAATGATGGCCATCTTCATTGTATACTATTCATAACAAATCATGTGATATCTGATCAAACAGTGTGATCCTTTCTCAACATTGACTTCTAATTTGCTATTGTATACAGACGGAGAAGCTTCTGTAAGATTCTCCCACTGCTTCACAATTACGCTGCGAAATCTTCGCCAGATGAACGAGACACGACTAGTAAACGCTGAATTGTATACAATAAGTAGGATAACAGATGATATTTGATGAATGCCATTTGGATGGGGCTGTTTTACTAGGCTTCCTTGATGGATTTCAGTTTTTTTGGAAGGGTGATGGGTTTCAGTTGTTTGTTCGTTCTTCTGGTTTCGGCCGATTTATTATTATTACTACTATTGTTCCACAAAAATAGTTCATATTAAGTTTTCAAATTTATACTAAAAACAGTACAAAACTTAAAATTTAATGTGGACTATTTTTGTGGGACGGAGAGAGTATTATTTTTTCTTTCTTAGAAGGCATCTTATATAGTAGAGTATTTCTTCCATTCCAAAATAAGTGTCATCGTACACTTTGCACATAATTTAAGAAATTCTTAAATAGGGTAATAAAATAACTTGAATATTCTCAACCAATCTCATTATAAAATTGTCCACCAATAGTATCAACTCTTTTGAGGGTAATTTTGAAAACTTTTGACAAAAAGTGCATTGAAATATGAGAACGACATTTATTTTGGGATTTCTCCATTTTGGCAAAACGACACTTATTTTGGAATGGAGGGAGTGCAGTATATAATATATTTAAGTTTCCTCGTACAAAGAAGCTGGATTTGATTATGTTGAGAATCGATAAAACGCTCAAGACTTGGTGAAACGGTAAGAATATGAGATTTTCACGTAGATTTTTTCAGATCTCGTTTGGAGACAATCTATTTTTTTTTTTTTAAAAAAAAACCCTCTAAATTATAGAAACCGTATTAAAGTGAGATAATTCAACTAAACTTGTAAGCGTTTACCACGATGATTTTTTTTTTTCTTGGTTTTAGAGAGTTCAGTTTGTAACTAGTATTTGTCAGGCACCCAAACAGTAAATACGCGAAAACCATTTAATCATTTTATTTATCACCTTTGCCCCCGAAAAGTTGGCATCAAATTCTCATCTACTGGAAGGAGGTACAAACCCAAGTCAAAAAAAATAAAATAAAGAACATTTAATTTTGTTATATCAGTACTTCAAAAATAAAATTCGTTAAGATTTTCAAGAACCAAAAAAAAAAAAAAAAAAGAGGTCAAACAAAAAAAAAACAAGAGCACAAAAATTGATGCAAACAAAGAGCAAATCAAGAAAGTCTTTGAATTTGAATGAGCGTTTTTTCTCTTCTTTCTCGTAACTCAAACGGCATGAATTTGTATTCTAACTGCATGCCTTAATTTTATGAGGAAGAATAATTAGCCAAAAAAGAAAGAGAATGAATGTTCTTTCTCTTTTTGCATCCGAAACGACAGCCTTTTCGCGGTTAGCTGATGGATGATGATAAATCCCATATGCCCAAATCAACCAACAACAACAATTCTTGTTGTTCTACCAATTCCACAACTCCTGAAAATTCTGTCAAATGTGATAAGAAGAAGAAGGTATTTTTGATCATCTTTATTTATTGAATTATATTCTTTTTTAAAAAAAGAATAATATCATTTCTCATTCGAATGATTTCACTTTCCATTTCGGTTTGTTATGTCCTTCTTGAATTTTCATGTTTTAGATTTTTTTTTTATTTTTTTATTTTTTTTTATTTTTATTGAATTGGGATAAAGTCAATCATTCCAAAGCTGTTCAGTTCCAAGAAAAATGGCAGAGAAAGCTCAGATGAAGATTCAACTCAACCCGGTGGAAATGATCATGGCGAGTCTCTTTCTTTCTTTCTTTTTTTTTTTTTTTCCCAATCTCATGTAATTATAAGATTGTATTAGATACATTATATAGCCTTGTCGACAAAAATATTAACCATTCTGTATTGTTCTTTCTTAGAAATGAGAATTAGGTAATTTAACGAGTTTGAAATCATTTGGTTGACTGAACTATGGTAATATCATTGAATCATTATTGATAACATTGTTAATATCTGGTTTGGTTGTTTGGAGACAGATTTGGAAACCAAGATGACATCAAGAATGAAAATTTTCTTAGAGTCGTCACCCCATGGTGTTAATAAAAATTTCCCAGGTAGATTTCTTTGTGTTTTGTTTTGTTTTTTTTTTTTTTGCCAAGCAAAAAATATTCTTCATGTGCAATATAATTTAATTATATCTTAAAAACTGCTAAATACTTTTTTAATGGCAAGGTGTGATTTCTTGAATTATTTAACCTAGTGACTCATCTATGTTAATTGAATCTGTCCAACTGACAACAATGTTCTTTGCTTTGAAAATACATTAATTCTTGTACAGCTACGAAAAGCCTATGTATAAATAAATATATTATTAGAATTACAAAAGTAAACGTTGTTTTAATTACGATTGATACTTTCTGGGTTATGATAGAAAGACACGTTTTTAATTCTTGTACCAGTATTTATCATCATCTTGGCTCTTAGTATAACACGGTAGCTTACCTAACAGAAGACTTCAAGTATATGTTGATTGTAATTGTTGTCTCCTACGTACATTCACTGTATATACGTATGAAAAAAATAAGTAATTCTTTCAGTTCCAAAATAATTGATCTATTTATTCTCATGTTAATAATACTGGTTCACTCGCAATACTCTATCTGTTTCATAACATTAGTAGTTTATAATTTCTAGTATTAAGTCATCCGAATTTTAGAATTTGATTTCCAAATCTGGACTAGTAATAGCTCATTTATTACTATTTGCTGTAAGATAGTAGTAAAACTAGAATAATTGAATTGTGAAATGGTGGAAAGAATTTTCAGCATTTAGAGTTATCTTAAAGAGTTAAACACTAGTGCTAAAATTTCTGTTTCAAGTGGATAAAATTTGATTTAAAGAGGGTAACTCCAACGTCCCAAAATCCAAGATGAGATTTTGACTAGGCTGTCAGTTTTGTTGTTAATCAGAACGATTTCAGAAACTTTTTTCCATCATGAGAAGACCCGAAATGGATTTAAGAGTTCTTTTAATCAAGTAATATAAACATTATTAAGTTAAACTAACGTAAAAAACAGCGATAAAATCATAGTGACTTTTTATGATGATAGATGATTGATAAAGAATTCCTTCTCTTTTTTTTTGTGTGAAAAGTGGTGGTTGTTATTATTATTATTATTATTTTTGTTGGTTCTTTTTGGGTCCCAAACATTATTTATTATTAGTACATAAACCAAACTCGCTTAAACATTATGGTTAAATATGATTATCCATATCCATTATATACCTTAAAGTACCAACAACAACAAACCAGACATACCTAAAACAAGCCATTAATCATCAGCACTATTCAAATCTGGCACTAAGAAGCATTCATGTGTTCTTGAACTGGTGTATTCATGATTCCATAGTACCTAAGAACATTTACATATGACAAAGTGCTTCATGATCTTTTTTCCCCCTTACAAGAATGGGGTTAGATTTTCACCTTACTACATTCTCACTTTCAACTTCTTCATTCCCCTCCTTCTAGAAATCATAGTAGATTAGAAAAATGGAAAGTTGGCATTAAATTCTTATCTAATCCCAGAAAGGCATAGCAGCGTCCGGATTGAAGGCCTCAATCTCTCCAATTTTGATCAAACAATGGGACCTTCTACCATAATACAAGACATTAGGTAAGAATTTTGCCCAGTAAGTTTATCATTTTGTCCGATATTTTTAATTTGATGAATTTAATTTAGAGGGACGAGTTTTTTTTTTTTTTTCCGTTTTTGCTTATGAGTAAATTTTGTAGGGTTTTCGTGGCAACATGGAATGTTGGAGGAAAGATGCCTGACAATGGCCTTAATCTACAAGATTTTTTGCAAGTAGAGGGCTCTGCGGATTTATATGTTTTAGGGTATGCTTGTTTTCTAAGTGTTTTTATTAAATTTCAACAACTAACAACTAGAGGCCGTTATTCTGTTCTGATCGGTTATATGGATCGTATGTTTTTATTTCCAGGTTTCAGGAGATTGTTCCTTTGAGCGCTGGAAATGTATTAGTGAGTGAAGACAATGAGCCAGCAGCAAGATGGCTAGCTCTCATAAGCCACGCATTGAACAAATCATATCACGATTCGCTTTCGGACGGTTCGAATTCATCAAAGCACTCAAGTAATCATCATCATCATCACTCGAAAGAGTTGTTGACCAAGGCCGCTTCTTTCAATAAGCAATCATTGAAGGCGCTTTGCAAGAAGCTCAAAGTTGATAGTAACCTCGTCAAGGTTTGCAACTGTCATTCGGATTCGAACCGGAGGCCGAGAAAGCTCAGTGATCCTTGCGCTGCCCCTTTTAGCTGCGGGAATAATTCCAGCATAGATGAGTTTCTCCAATTGGCTGAAATCGATTCTCCTAAAATGAATTATAGGCTAGTAGCCAAAAAGCAAATGGTGGGTATTTTCTTATCCATTTGGGCAAGAAAAGAATTGGTTCAACACATTGGACACCTGCGGATTACTTGCGTTGGAAGAGGAATCATGGGTTGTCTTGGCAATAAGGTAACTTAAGAATTCCTTTTTTGAAGTTTGAAGTTTGAACTCGATTTTGAATGAATCCTTGTTTTCCTCGTCTTTGTATTGTTGCTGTCTCTAGTTTGCCATACAATGATGATGAAACTATATATACTTCATTCAAACCGACATGGAGATAGAAACAAAAATCGCATATATAAAAATATTGCCGACTTTGAACAAACTTCATTGTTTTCAGGAACAGGTCATTTGGAAAGAGCAATACCTTTTGTGCTTTTCTACCTTTTCTTTTTTCTTTTTTTTTTTTTTATTGATCACACTGCCTGTTCTAAATTTGGTACACCCCTTTCTAGAAGAAACAAGTGATCTATTACATGAGATTTTCAACCTTTAGTTATACACATAATTCCTTTTTTCTAAATTATTCAGCGCTCCCGCTGCACCATAAGTCAACATATACAGCATATAGTTTTGGGGGATCCATATTTTTAGGGGGAGTTGATTAAAATTTATTGGGGCAAAAAAATGATTAATTATCTATCATTGTTGTGATTGGTTTAATGGACTAAAAATTAGGAACCACCAAGTGCATAGAATAATTTTTCGCCTCGGGGATAATTTAGCAATTATAATCGGTAGTCATATGGTAAAATTGTCTTACGGATGTCTGGTCTAGTCAAGATTAATCCTAGCTTGGTTAAATCATACTTTGACTGCACTTAAACATAATTAAGGTTTGTTGCCTGCTACTTTTTTACTCCTCAATTAGTTGAAAATTAACACTCTCTTTTTTTCACCAAAAAGAAATTAATATACTTTCATGGGAAATTAAAAAATGTCTTTGTCCCAAAGTATAAGTGACAACTTAAATTTCATCCCAAAGTATTAATTCTTTTTTTCTTTTTAGCTTCTAAGTTTTCTTTTATTTTGTTTTGATGACACTTATTAGACCAACAATTTGTGTATTTTTGACTATAGGGATGCATATCAATAAGCATGACATTGCACCAAACAAGCTTTTGCTTCGTATGTAGTCACTTAGCTTCTGGGGAGAAAGAAGGAGACGAAGTAAGGAGAAATGCGGATGTATCTGAGATTCTAAAGAGCACACAATTTCCCAGGATTTGCAAGAACCACCCTTGTCGCTCCGTTCCCGAAAAGATTCTTGAACACGAGTAAGTCCACTAACTACATGAAAACCCAATTTTGACCTTGTTCGACATGTGGTCTACAATAAGAACTGAAATATTTCTGTCTCAGAAAAATAGTCTATATTGTACAAATCTCAAAATTTAATATAAATTATTTTCGAGATACGAAGAATAATTTAGTTCAACAAAAGGGTATTTATTAAAAATTAATTGGACATAATTAAAACACGACGAATATGGATATGAGATGGATCTTATCAAAGACTTTTTACTCAGGAGTGTTCCTGTTTCTCCACCAAGACATTTTGTTGACATTATTGAAAAATGTGTATGCATTTTTCAGCCGCATCATTTGGCTCGGGGATTTGAATTATCGGGTGTCTTTAAGCTATGAGGAAACGAGGCTGCTTCTGGAGGATAATGATTGGGACTCCTTACTTGAGAGGGATCAGGTTGGTGATTGAAAGTAACCTTAATTTCAGTTTCCTCCAAAGTCAACGGGACACCTAATCCTAGATGACAATGACTTAAAAATGTAAATTATAGGCATAATCTGTTCTGTTCTTCATGATTAAAGATATTTGTAATTGTATTTCGTAGTTTACAAATGTCACATTATACACTGAATGAATTCAATATCGTCTCTTAGTTTGTTCGCTTACGAATTTCAATTCTCATTGAACAAACAGCTAAACACGGAGAAAGAAGCAGGCAGGGTGTTTAGTGGCTTCAGTGAAGGAAGAATCTTCTTTGCCCCAACTTACAAATACTCCCACAACTCAGATTCATATGCAGGAGAGACTGTGAAATCGAGGAAAAAAAGGCGAACGCCTGCATGGTTTGCATCCGCTCATACATTTTGAACTTTTTTTTTTCTAATTATTATTATTATTATTATTTTGTATCAATGTGAATAATACTACATTGTTTCTGGATTAATTTCAGGTGTGATAGGATATTGTGGCGTGGAAATGGAATCGAACAATTATCTTATATCCGAGGGGAGTCGAGGTTCTCGGATCATAGACCCGTTTGTGCTGTTTTTGCTGTACAGGTTGAGATGAAGAACAAGAACACTTCAAGATTTAGGAAAGGTTATTCATGCACCGCCTCTAAATATGGCTTTGAAGACTGCATAGTACCCCAAAGGCATAGCTTTTATGATTAATATGCAATGATTTGTACATTATTTTCTAGGGGTATCGGGCGAGAAGGCATGATTAGAGTAAAACCTTCTCTTTTTTTTCTTCCTTTTTTTTTCCATCTTAGAAATTAGTGAACACATAAAAATGAACACATAGCTATTAACTCTCTGTAGTATTCGATCAATAGAATTATATATACATACCATGCATAACTTGATAGTGAAATATTTTATACTTCTTTCGAGCGGAAGCATTCAATTAATATTGGAACTACATACACAATGAATTCATTCATGACTTGATATTGAAAATGAAATTTAATTGGAAAAAGAAAAACCAAATAAAGGAAAAGGGAATAGTATACTTGTTTTGGTTAACAAGAAGTCTCAGCTCGGGAACCCAATGAAACAATGGAGTGTGCGGTAATTCAGGTCTTATAAATATAGTCTACCTCGTTTGTATTAAAAAAGATTCCAACAATGCAAACTCTATTTTCAAGGAACAAAATTAAGGATGATAGTTGAATAACATTGTAAACACTAGTAAACTCCACTCTATCTCTTCAGGCAACCAGGAAAGAAGAGATTAAAAAAAAAAACACTAAAACAAATTAGAGAAAAAAGATAGATAAAATAATATATGTAAAGAAGAAGAAGAAAGACTAATCTCTAAGACTCTAACCTTTGGGAGTGTAACAAATGAAGAAAAATGTACTCATTAAGGTGAATATTCCTCTTCATATGCCAAATCCCAAATTGAAGGTGCATGAAGAAGTACTTCTTGGGGAATATTATGATCCAAGTTTTGTTGGTGTGATGGAATCACATTCAAATCCATGTTATCCTCATATGTACTTTCACCCAACCTTATAAGCTGCTGCTGATGATGGTGATCAATCTCATGATGATCTTCTTCCCAATAATTCCGATATTGAACATCATCATTTGATTCATCATTTCTCGCAACCAACAAATCCATCCAATCTGGTTGATTTGCGCTTCTCTCCCCAACAATTTCACTAGCTCCTCCATGACCAAAATAATTAGTATTTGCATCTTCATTCACAATGTCTCCTCCATAAGCACAGTTTGATTCATGCTCCGTCCTCAAATTCTTGTCGGAAAATCCCTTTTCTAGATGGCTTCGTGGGCAGTCTAAAAATTGGCAAGCAAACAAAGCATCCACTATAATCTCCCTATCAAAAGTGCATTTCCTTTTCTCACCACCACCATCCTCAACTTTATCCAAGTCAATAATCCCTCCATCATCATTTTCTCCTACTTCTTCTTCTTCTTCAGATGGTGTAATTCGGAGAGCACTTTGGGTCAAATTCACAAGGGCTTCTTCTTGATTTACAATTCTTAACCAAGTTGAAGTATCTCTGGCCGTCATCTTATCTTGCAAGCACTTGGAATGCCTCACCAACCTCCTAATCCGGTCGAAATCGGGTGCCATATGCTTGATAACCGAGGCTAAAACACTAACCTTCCAAGCCTTTTTCAAGTCATGAGGCTTCCGGTAAGGCGGTGGCCCGCGCTCGCGAGCCAACTGACCTTGATCTCCCCACCAAGATTCTGACCCGTTCGGCCACCAAGGTGGGGGCAAACCCCTCTCCAAAGGAAACCGCCTTTGGGGAGGGACACAGTGTTGCATAAGAGCCGACAACAACGACCCTAAAGTCGCATCTTGGATTTCTTGAAGAAGATGTAAGAATGAATTCCCATCAACTTCACCTTCGAGGATTTTTGGTAAGAATTCGGTTATGGCACTTGGCGCATTTTGGTCGAACTTCACTTTTTCTTTCCACCATTCCCGCAGACTTTCGCTTGATCCAGTCACAGCTTTGCCTTTATCGGGAACAATACCATAAACAAAGCCTCGAGCATCACAAACCTCCATGATCTTCACCATGTATTTGAGAATGGAGTCTTGAGCTCTTGCCATTTTCTTCCTTTTCGACATTTCTTCCACCCCTTTTGATGCTCCTGGCTCTTGATTATTGATGTCATCCCTTCTCTGATCTTTGAGCTTTTGTAAATGAATCCGGTCCCTCCACATGCGTTTCTTGAGATCATCATAGCTAATATCTTCATTTTCAGGCCCCTCTGAAAGGTCTGAGCTTGTAGGGCTTAAAGGGTATGCTTCAATTTCTTCACAAAGATCCACCATTTATTAGTTTGAAATCTTTTACAATAATGATTGAAAATGACTAGTGTCATGTAGGAGTACAGGAATTTGTTTCAAGGGCGAACGTTTTGATATGGGATTACTTATTATAAATACTATAACACTATATCAATTTTAAAATATATATATATATATATAAATATATTTTTGTATTTGGATATTTCTTTTTAATATTATCCTTCTCAACTAAGAAAGACGTTCGGTTTACTATTCAAAGAATATATGTGTTATACGTGTTAAAAGAAACAGTAGAATAACTTAAGTTTTTGTGTCATATCTTTTAACTCAAACAGTCTTAACGAACTTTATGCAAGGAAAATACTACAACTATACGTTTTCATCGCAAAATGAGATTTAATACGAACTCTTCTTTAGTAAATACAGTATTATTTAACTATGGCGGTGAAGATTTGACCAAAAGCAAGATGAGGGGGACTAGGAGACAAAACGGGTATCCAGGATTTGAATGAAAAGTTTGGAAATTTGCTAAGAATAAACGTGAGGAATGAAGTGGGCAATCGATGAAATTCAGGGGAAAGTGATAAGTTTGCACGATTCTAAAGGGGAAACTGTGCGTTAGAGGGAATGAATGCAAAAGATTAGTCAGTCTTTTTGGTGGTTCAGCAGATATGATACAGATAGCTAACATGCATATGCGACACATGTTTTTTGCTCCTCATTCTTCCAATGGGATTGCTACAGACCATACTTCTCACATGCTATGCTTTTCCTTCTGCTGAAAATTGGACAATTGTTGGTATTCAAGACCACAGAATATCATAAGGAAAGATTTAGACAAAGAAAAAAAAAGATGGGAAGGTTCATTTAATCATGGAATGTGAGTGATCAAAAACCGCAGTTGAGGAAGCTTCTCTGCAAAGATGTAAATTTCAATATTTATTGGAAGAGATTTATATATATCTCTATTAACATGCCTTATCTGCTTGAGAGGAGATTACTCGAACTTGTTTTATTGTTTATATTATATGCATCTGTTTTGATATTATCTCATGGTTTCTGTGCCAGAAACATCTAAATTTGTAGTAAGGATATCATCTCTAACTTTAAGTAGGTTTTACACTCTGGCTCACGTACTTGTCTGGCAATGAAGTGAAGCATTTTAGTCCGGGGCAGCATGTCAGGATTGGTTTATTTAAAACTTAAAAGAGAATTGTTAATTTTCGAACTATAAAAAGGGCTTTTTGAATCCAGGGGATAGTTGTTGGTGTAGTTTGTAATTAACCCTTAATATTGTAGAAGCCCAAATGTTATTTATAATTGGGTTATACACACTGATTGGGTAACATTTATTGTGGTGAGTTATGTCCTTGGCATCATTGCAATTTTTATCAGTCAACTTATCATCATCATCAACTATCAACTATATATATAAAAAAGGAGTTTCTCCCTTCTCATGTGTATATTTTTGGTAGTAGACATATGTCACACATGTAAACTAAATGGAAAAAAAAACCTATTAGTGAATGAAATGGGTGGTTTAATTTGCATTTATGTTCAATTTTATTACTTTTATTTAATCCTCTCAATAGTAACCGAAAGTTAGATGATCAATTAACCTACTCTATTAATTACGAGTGATGTTTGGTCGTGTAATGCGCGACCCTGACCCAATATATCGGTAGATTTTAGAAATGTTTGTATTTGGAAAAAAATATTTTGTATTTGGCCCGATATATTTTAGAAATATTTGAAGAATTTAGAAATGTTTTATAAATGTGATCATAGAAATGTTTGTATTTGACAAAAAAAAAAATTATATTTGACCCGGTACGTTTTAGAAATGTTTGAAGATTTTAGAAATGTTTTAGAAGTGTTACTTATTAAATATAAATAAACTTGATCAAGTATATGTCTTGAAGTAAATGTTAGACAAAATATAAAAGCATCCTAATAAGTTTAAATATCAGTAAGATGATTTATTGATGTTCTTCGTCTGTCTTGCCAAATCAATATTTAGTTTTGGAGATTTATAATATTTTTGTAGTAAGCTTGCTCTGAAGGGTATACGTTTAATTGTTGGAACTGTTTCTTCCAAAGGTTTATAGGTAGTAAAATATCAAAAATATGATTTTGAAACTGGTTGATCACAAATATGAGAATGAAAATTAATGTAAATTTGCATAGGTTTCAAGTTATACCAAAAAAGAACTCACCCCAACATGGCAAATAAAAAAAAAAGTATGTAAAGGAGCCCATTAAAAATTGAGAAATTTTTTTTTTTCCATCTAGGTAAAAATGATGTATAAAATCACAAATAAACGTAGAAATATCATTCCTTCCCTCTCTACCTCAAATTCATAAAAGGCTTCCCCATAAATTAGTTAGAAGAAGCGACCTAAACTATTTATATGATGAGTAACTCAAAAAAGTCCAAAAACCAAATCCAAAAAAGTATATTCTTGAAAGCCCGAACACAAAAAAAAGAGAAAAAAAAAAACGCGCTTCATTTGCAAAAAATAATAATAATAAATGGTCAACTGGGAGTATGAAACAAAATCAAAAGCAATTAAACAACGAAAAAACAAAGTTCATAACTGACCATATACGAAAAAAAACTGAGACTCCATAATTAAAAAAAGAAAACCATTCTAATTGAATTAAACATAAAAAAGAAATTAAAAAAAAACCACACTTTGTAACAAAAACCTAATTGATCAATTCAATCCAAACAGAACTAAAATCATACAAAAATTTTAGGTAACTAACCATATAAGAAATTACATCATATTACCTGGCAATGGCTACGGTAACTGTAACGTGTGGACGCATAAAAATAATTGTAATAACGCTATTCTTGAATGGGAAAAATAAAAAATAATAAAAGTCAAACAAATAATCTGTGGATATAAAAACATTTAAATTTTAATATCTCTAATGGCACCACCACAACGGCCGAAGCAAGATCAATGAGAAATTTTTTTTTTCCTTTGTGTTTATATAGAGAGGTAAAGTGAACATTTTTTGAAGTCGAAATTTTATCCGATTAGGATGTAGTTGATCATCACTAATGAAAAGATTGAACATGCTAATAGGAAAGGAGTATATTTCACCACGTATTTTTAATTGATGGTTGATGAGGAATTTGTTTTTTGTTTTTTTTTTATTGTGGAGAAGGGATTGATTAGGGAGTCGATTGCCGTGGAGATGAGAATGAGGATTTGGGTGTTTTATGAAGCCGTGGTTTTTTTTTTTTTGGCAAAAATAGGAGGTGGAGGTGGATTTGGACTACATTTGCCTTTTAAGTCTAGGAAACTGATATGTAAATAAAATTAATTTTAAAACTATGATGTGGAAATGCCACATGGCGAATGGTGGTGCTTTCTTTTAAGTGTGGTTTTTATTTATAATATAGTAAGATATTGTCCATTTGTCTCCTGTCAAGTTGTTTAATGTGTTCTAATATGCAGTAAATTTCTCTAAAATATAAACAAACCTTCACCTCTTTGTTGTCGTCTACTCTATTTTGCTCTTCTCTTTAAGATTGGTGTAGCACAAGATTCTTTTCAATTGATCAGAAGAATACCACATGAATATAAGAGTTTTTTAATCCTTTGATTTTAAAAGTGTATATGCTTGTATTGATCGTTTTCTTCCTTTTTTGCTGATTTAAGTTGTGGAGAAAAATAGTATTTGGACAGAGATGGTGCTGTTGCATCTAAAAAATGAGCAATTTTTTATATACCAGAAACTATGTTTACAAATTCAATTCCTCTACAATTTGCTTTGTTCTTCCTTCTTCTTCTTCTTCTACTGCTTCTTGTTGTTCTCCTTTTCTTTTTTGGTAATTGATGCATATATACAATTGAATTGTGTTGGAAGTTTTACATGGCATGAGAAGTATTTGAACATCTTTAAGAGTTAAAGAACAATGACATCTAGAGTTGAGAAAGTGGACTCACGTGACTTTACACGTGACTTTGTATTCCCTTTAATTCATTTAGAATTTTGAAAATAACGTGGAACTATATTCAATGAAATTTCATTTGCAAATTATTACTTTGGGTAAACATATGTGTGCAAAATAATCATAATCACGCAGGGCACTTTCTCTCTCTTCGTCTGCGGCGCACTACTCTTGTGCGCCAATTAAGGCTGGCCGGAAAAAGAAAGGAAAGGCCCCTCAACAACGGATTGTCGAGAAGGTACAACCTATTGAGGGAACAAGAATGTATCAGCTTTGTAAGAAGTTGAAGAGATTAAAGTTCCCACTAAAACAACTGAATAGGTCCCATTATGCTTACATTATTGACCAGTCTTGCCAGGACCAGCTGAGACTCTTTCATGTTCAGGAGGAACTGGGACGGGATCCTACTAATACTGAGTTACAGGAAAAAGAAAGGGAACTGCGGGGGAAGTACATGGAGTCAAGTCGTGCTGCAACCTGTTTTTTGCATCAAAAAGCAAAAGAGAGATGGATTGGTGAAGGTGATGAGAATAGTCGATACTTCCACTCTCGATTGAAGGTCCGGACCATGAAGAATAGAATATGGTCAGTTGTAGGGGACAATGGGGAGGAAATAAGGGACAAAGAAGGAATAGAACATCATTTTATGCAATACTACCAACAACTGCTGGGTCAAGCGAGTTTGAGAAAGGTTGCTGATCCGGAGATGTTTAAAAAAGGGAGGAGATTATCAGTTGAATAGCATCTGAGGTTGATTCGACCTATTCAGAGAAGTGAGGTAAAGACTGCCTTGTGGGAAATGGACGTGAATATAAGTCCTGGCCCCGACGGCTACGGAGCAGGGTTCTTTAAAGCAGCCTGGCAAGTGGTGGGTGAAGATGTGGTTGAAGCAATACTTGAATTCTTCCGTCCAGGTCAGATTCTTACTCAGTTAAACTCCACTTTGGTTGCTTTGATACCTACGATTGATTCTCCTGTTGATGCTAGTCATTATCGACCTATTTCTTGTTGCAACGTGATTTATCAGTGTATTTCAAAAATTTTATGTAATAGAATG